CCCCATCAGGAGACCAGAACCTGGTTTAGTTCTGACTCTGGGCCCCAGCAGGAGATCAGAACCTGGTTCTCAGAATCCAAGCTGGTTCATACGGCTCTAACATGTCAGAAAGGTATTTTGGTTCTTGCCCATGAAGAGAATTGTACACCAGCAGAGCTGTTTTAGAGTCTATTCTCTGAGGGACAGAAAGCCAGAGGAAAGACCTGAGACCTGGACTGATGTGGTCCTATTTCCTGGTTCTGGTCAGAACTCTAGCAGCAGCATTCTGGATGTTTTTCAGCTAGCTTACAGCTCGTTTAGAGAGTCCAGTGAGCACGATGGATGGTGGGTGATCACGTGCGACCCACCTGCCACTGTCACAGCTCTCAGGTCGCCTCTCACACTAAAACCTCTCTGCCTCCCCCTTGTAAATAATAAATAAGGGGGAAGAATCCCACACGATGAGGTCGTGAATCCCGGCTTCAGGATCTGAACGAACACGATGGGAAACACAGCTTTGCTTTTATCTAAAGCTGTCTAAAGCTTTTCCTCTTCCCCGCTTTTTCATCCTTGATAATAACCTTTAGCGTCCAAACCTGCCATGAATACGCATCCTCTGTTATTGGTGTGTGGACATAAGGGGATCAATGGGGATTTAACAGATCTGCTGAGTCTGAACATGCTTTTTTTTTTTTATCGTGTGTGTGTATGTGTGCATGTATTCACCTCAGTGAGCCTTATCACCTTTCCTTTTTTTAATCCTTAGGGCAAAAAAAATCCTGCATACGTGGAATTTTTGTGTGCATCTCTGTCAGCGAAGTCTTAGATTACTTGTGGGGTCGATGCGGGATGGGCCCAGAGCCCAGCGAGCATCGGGCGGGTCCTATTTTAAGACGCGTGTCTTCAAAGATCCGCGGTGTTGGCTGGAGAGTCCTGACGGCTTTCTGCTTTGCTCAAAAGCAAAAGAAATTATCTCTTTTTCCCTTGTTAACAAGTCCGTGTGGTTAGTTTTGGGCTGCAAAAGCAGAAAATCCCTGTTCAAGCCTCTGTGTCTTACCCAAAGGCACCAAGACATCAATGAGATTTGGAGATGTCAATGAGATTCATCCAACACTTTGAGGTCTTTAAAGCGATGGATCTTGAGCCGTTTCACTCATGTACAGCAGGTTTAGTTCATTATTTCCTCATTAAAAGGCAAGGTAAGATTATTTATAGAGGACATTTTGTTCTCAAGCCAACTCAAAGTTCCTCAGTGCTGCGTAAAACCACAAAAGGCAAATAAAAACCTTCAGTACAACAAAATAAATCATCATTGATACTCACAATTAAAGCAAAGACTTGCTAAAATGAGCTGTTTTCAGCCCAGTCTTCAGGAAGACTGTTCCAGGTTTTAGGAGCATAACCGAAAGCCTCTGGACTCTGTTTCTAACCCGTCCGCTGATTCTCACTTCAGATCTTTCTGCTTCTCCCAAACTAGAACTTCCAGGCCCTGCCGAGGCAGCCGCTTCAAGTCAGAAAGAAGCAGCACGTCCATGGTGAGCTCCCACCTTCTGAACAGCACACAAACCCAGAGAAAAGGGAAGAAATCTGTCCTTCTGCCACATGTCGGAGCATCAACTGTTTTACTGACCGCATTTCCACCTTAACAGACACGATAGAAAACCAGCCAACATGCTCAAAACACAAGATTGCGAGACAAATATCTCCTCGGTTTGAGATTCAAAAGTAAAGTGTGAGAGATACATTAATCCTTAGATACAACAAAACATTAAGATAAAATAAAATAAAATAAATAACAGCATTGCTTAGTCACCTGTTCTGTACTTCTGTCTGTTAGAGACCAGCATATTTAACCCACCTTTTAGTGAATGTGTTTTTTTTAAGTCGGAGGAAGAAGGTGATCCTTTCCATAAGGTAAATGTCATTTACAATACTTATCCACTCCTGTATTGTGGGGGGGGTCAGCGTCTTGTGAGTGCTTTTTTTCTAGTTTTATGTTGGCAGTTTGTTGTATTTTTATTAGCAAAGGGCTCGTTTTATGGTCATCTGACAGGAGGGGCGGGGTGTCGGCATCCTGCCAACACGAGAAACTAATTTAAGGTGAAAATGCCAGAGAGGATGATCACAGCCAGCACGGATGGGATGGTCCTTTTTTATGTTAGCCATTAGAAAATTAAAGCCTCCGGAATGAAGGCTTAAGGGAAAAGTCCACGTGGGAGTCAGGAGATCCAGAGACTGATCTGAGGGACTAAATAACAAGAGAAACTGTCATAAAAGAGAGAAAAATGAACAAATATGTCCCTATTTTTATGTGGAGGGCATCTTCTGAAACGCTTGCCTTCATAAAAGTGTCTAAAAGGAGACATAGTATACCCTATTTCAACAAGTTAAACTAGTTCCCTGGTGTCCTAATGTAATGTCTGTGACAAGCTTTGGTCAAAACCCCATAAGGATGAAGCCCAATAGCAGTTCAGTCCCCCTGCCTAACCCTAACCCTAACCCTAACCCTAACCCAAAACAGCCCCGTTCAGAGCGCTCGCTTTGGAGTGCCTGTCTCTTTAAATGCAAATGAGACACAGGCAATCCACCCACTTCTTCAGGGAGGTGTGCCCACGTCGGCACGCTAACGCTACCATGCTAACGCTAGCATGCTAACGCTACCGTGCTAATGCTACCGTGCTAACGCTACCGTGCTAACGCTACCATGCTAACGCTCACGCTACCATGACAACAGCTGGACGTGAACTCTGGTAGAAACATGGCAGCTGGAGGAAACTTTTCGGTCCAACCTTATATGTTTGAACCAGAGTCAGACCCTGAACAAGAAGGAGCTAGCCAAGAAGTTGTTCAATGTAGACTGCAACAAGACGTTTCTTTTTTCTTAAAGTGGCGGAGCACAGATAGGCGGAGTAAGCTGAGGGGGGGGGCAACATGCAGGTGAAAGGCTGGAATATTATAATGAGCTAGAGCTAATGACGTCAGAAACTACCCACTCCTGAAACCTCCTGATTTATCTCCTGGATTCAGACTGAGGCGGCCCACAAAAACATGACTGAGTCTTTTTTTTTCACACTTTGCCTGCTGATAGGCACTCCACAGTCCCAAATGTACATAATCAAATGATTAAAAACTTGGTTTTGCATAATATGTCCCCTTTAAACACTTTTATCTCCATCAGTCTGCATAAACAAAGCTCAGTGGTTCTGCCTCCTGTTGGTTTAATAGCTGCTAACCTCAGCAGACTCAGAACCTCAGCTCTCCTTGTCATCATTTCACATCCTCCTCGGCCTCTGCCGTTACCCCCGGTTACGCCTCCTCCATCTTCCATCCTCCTGTCAGTAATCGCTCCACGTGTTCGGACGGGGGCTCCAATTACAACCGGCTGCCCCCCCCCCCGCCCTGAACTCAGCGTTTCAGCATCCTGTCGGGATCCTGAAATAATGTGGAACCCAGCTTAGATATATATATTTTTTTAAACATTTTTTTATTTTTATTTTGTGAGAGCATGACGATACAGTGGTAGATACTTTTTAGGGAACGTACAGTGTTACTACTGCCACTCACAGTTATTTTTTGTGTGTAATACAAAGTTAAGTAAACTGTTCAAACAACTTTGAACCAAACTGGGCATCGGGTTTTTAACGGAGTTATTCTTATTTTGCTTATTGGCGTCACGCCTGTTTTTTTTTGTTTTTTTGGGGGGGTGTTTTGTCATGTTTTGGTCTTGTCGTTTCCTGTTTTTTTAAACATTTTTTATTTTTATTTTGTGAGAGCATGACGATACAGTGGTAGAGACTTTTTAGGGAACGTACAGTGTTACTACTGCCACTCACAATTATTTTTTGTGTATAATACAATGTTAAGTAAATTGTTCAAAGAACTTTGAACAAACTGGGCATATGGTTTTGACAGAGTTATTCTAATTGTTCTTATTGGCGTCACGCCTGGGTTTTTTTTGGGGGGGTGTTTCGTCATGTCTTGGTTTTGTCGTTTCCTGTTTTTTTAAACATTTTTTATTTTTATTTTGTGAGAGCATGACCATACAGTGGTAGTTACTCACAATTATTTTTTGTGTGTCATACAAAATTAAGTAAATTACATCAAACAACTTTGAACAGACTGGGGAAGAAAGACTTACATGAAAAAGCAAAAAAAGCTTTGTCATCTGTCTCCACAGGGAAGGAGGAGGAGGTGGTGACCGTTCATCCGCGAGCCATGTTCATCCCTCAGGAGGGCTGGACTTTCCTTTCTGCCGGTAGGTGACACTTGACCCCTCATCAGACTCACAAAAAACAGTATTTCAAACAGATGGAGGATATTTACTTAATTAAATAGGTTCAGATTTGGTGGTTTGAAAAGTTCTGAAACTCTGTTTGGAAACAGAGATAATTGACACATTTATTGAATTAAACAGAAAGGCTCAGCTGTGTTTCATTGTCAGTTTTTCTGCTTTTATGCTTCATCCATGAAGAAGAACGTGAGCAAACATCTGCTTTGACAGCTGTCCAGATGAAATTAGCCTTCTCTTCCGTTCGTCTATTATTTTTTGTTTTTTTCCTGAGCCTCGGCTGGCCTCTGAAGGGTCAGTTCAGGCCGTGTTGCTCGTCTGTATTGTGCAGACAAAGAGAACAGAGGCGGGACGCTGTCAGTCTGGGGAAGCTTTGCAGGGATTGGAGGGTGTCTGACACATTCAGGCTTACATAACCGGGCGGATAAACCGGGGTTAGCGTGAGGACGGATAAACCGGGGTTAGCATGAGGACGGATAAACCGGGGTTAGCGTGAGGACGGATAAACCGGGGTTAGCATGAGGACGGCGGCGGGAGGAGGGCAGGACACGTTCTCACACTCATTTCTCATCTCTGTGGTGGTTCGGCCTCCCAATAAACCCCAAATCTAACCTTATCAATAACCGTATCCTCATTTGGAAACCCAACAATAGGCAGAATAGGTAGAAAAACAGTTTTTACATTGTGCTAAAACATAAGCACGTGGAAATAAAAAGAATTAGAATCAGAATCAGAAATATTTAATTACTTAATAATCCCAGAGGGAAATTATTTTTGTTACTAGCTCCGTAAATAAAACAACGTCATATACATATATACATGTCTATACATATATACATATATATACTGTATATATATACAAAATTCCACATAGAATATAGATAAAATATATACATAAATAACTATATGCATGTATATATATAGGTCTAAATAAGTGGTGGTGATAATGTCAATAATTCAGTTTGACTCTCAGAGAAAAGACCCAAAGGAGACAAATTATTGTGGAAATAATAACTAGTTTAGTCTGTGTCCTCTGATGATCCTCTCATGATCAGATGGCAGATTCTTCCCTAGCGGCAGGTTTTCTTTTCTTTTTTTTTTTTTTAGACTTAGACTTCATTTATTGTCATTGCACAAAAAACACAAGGTGAATCTTGACAACGAAATGTCGATTACTTGGCTACCAGTGTAACAGAGCTAAGACCTTATTCCTGCACAATTAATACGTTTTCTATAACTAAGAGCTAAGAGCTAGCTATGTACACGCTAAAGAAGTATATACACTATATTGCCAAAAGTATTTGCTCACCCATCCAAATTATCGGAATCAGGTGTTCCAATCACTTCCATGGCCACAGGTGTATAAATTCAAGCACCTAGGCATGCAGACTGTTTTTACAAACATTTGTGAAAGAATGGGTCGCTCTCAGGAGCTCAGTGAATTCCAGCGTGGAACTGTGATAGGATGCCACCTGTGCAACAAATCCAGTCGTGAAATTTCCTCGCTCCTAAATATTCCACAGTCAACTGTCAGCTGTATTATAAGAAAATGGAAGTGTTTGGGAACGACAGCAACTCAGCCACGAAGTGGTAGGCCACGTAAACTGACGGAGCGGGGTCAGCGGATGCTGACGCGCATAGTGCGAAGAGGTCGCCAACTTTCTGCAGAGTCAATCACTACAGACCTCCAAACTTCATGTGGCCTTCAGATTAGCTCAAGAACAGTGCGCAGAGAGCTTCATGGAATGGGTTTCCATGGTCGAGCAGCTGCATCCAAGCCATACATCACCAAGTGCAATGCAAAGCGTCGGATGCGGTGGTGTAAAGCACGCCGCCACTGGACTCTAGAGCAGTGGAGACGCGTTCTCTGGAGTGACGAATCGCGCTTCTCCATCTGGCAATCTGATGGACGGGTCTGGGTTTGGCGGTTGCCAGGAGAACGGTACTTGTCTGACTGCATTGTGCCAAGTGTAAAGTTTGGTGGAGGGGGGATTATGGTGTGGGGTTGTTTTTCAGGAGCTGGGCTTGGCCCCTTAGTTCCAGTGAAAGGAACTCTGAATGCTTCAGCATACCAAGACATTTTGGACAATTCCATGCTCCCAACTTTGTGGGAACAGTTTGGAGCTGGCCCCTTCCTCTTCCAACATGACTGTGCACCAGTGCACAAAGCAAGGTCCATAAAGACATGGATGACAGAGTCTGGTGTGGATGAACTTGACTGGCCTGCACAGAGTCCTGACCTCAACCCGATAGAACACCTTTGGGATGAATTAGAGCGGAGACTGAGAGCCAGGCCTTCTCGTCCAACATCAGTGTGCGACCTCACAAATGCGCTTCTGGAAGAATGGTCAAAAATTCCCATAAACACACTCCTAAACCTTGTGGACAGCCTTCCCAGAAGAGTTGAAGCTGTTCTAGCTGCAAAGGGTGGACCGACGTCATATTGAACCCTATGGATTAGGAACGGGATGTCACTTAAGCTCATATGTGAGTCAAGGCAGGTGAGCAAATACTTTTGGCAATATAGTGTATATACATATATATTGCACTTTTATTTATAGTTATTGCAAGAAGAAACATTAAGTTGAAGACAAAACTGCAGGGTAAAGAAGTATATATATATACATATATATTGCACTTTTATTTATAGTTATTGCAAGAAGAAACATTAAGTTGAAGACAAAACTAAACTAAGGTGCGTGTAGTGTCCATGGGGGGTGGAAATTGACCAGAACTAGCTATATACAGGGTTAAGAGGAGATATATACATATATATTGAGTTATGAGGTTTAATCACCAGGTGGAATAATGTGGTTACATTTCCTCCACAGGTTTGAGTCATTTCTATCCTTTGGTTTCCTCCTCTTCTGGTTCTTGGTTCATTTTTCCTCACGCTTTACAGTACGATATCACAGTTAATAATCTGTTTCAATCCACGTCCATAGATGTCTTTGGCCTAAACGCCCGTCGATTCATTCTTCCTGGAAGCCTCTCTGCACCAACCGCAGCCCACTAGGGACATTTTAAATGCTCAGAGTGCATGCGGAAGCTTTTATTTATAACCGTGTTGTTAAAGTGGGCTGCGTCAAACGGGGTAAAGGGGTGAAAAACGACTCTCAGACCCTTAAAATGATGACCATTTTAAGGTATGTCTGGGTATTCCTGCTTAAAAAAAACTCAGTGTTTCATATTTTTCTCAAAACAAAGCAAACACTTGTGAAATTTCATCATTGAAAGCATGCAAGTAACTCAGGATCAGAAGGAAAAATGCATTTAATAGTTTTAAACCGGTTTAAAAAATGCCGCTGTGGACCAAAATCTACTTAAAAAAGCAGGAATCAGCATGTTGTTTACCTTTACTTTCACTGTTTATTGTTTCGGCTGTTTAGTGGTCATTGAAAAGGGTTTTGGCTGCTTTTAAGCCTCAAAAGATTAATTAAATAACTAGTTTGTTTGATTATAATGCAAGCAGAATGACACCTTTTCATCAGGTGTTGGTTGAACCCAAATAACTTTTACCACTGCTTCTTTTAACATTGAAATAAGTTAGAAATATCATGAATTTTACCTTATTTGCTCAACCCTGTAATGCCAAATGTATCATATATGATACAGACGGTTTCTGAAATGTTTGACACCTTTTGCTTAATTTAATGGTAAAAACGTTGCCAAAAATCCTATTGTACACAATCAGATACACCTGATAACAGGGGGCAGAAGACTACACAAAAAATAATCTTCACTTATCGCATATAAATAAATTATTAATATCAAATATGTATTTCTGTTTTTTCTTTTTACATATTTTGTTAAAAGGCCAAATAAGGAATTCAAACCCAAAAAAAGCGAATTTCTGTTTTGTTTTATTCTTGGTTTATTTATGAGTGTGTGTACTATAGGAATTTGCCTTTGTGTAATAAACCGAATGGTATATATAAATCTAATCAATCCAGGATGTGAAATAGTCTCTAAATCTGCGTGTTTTCGGCTTTACTTTGTGAATGGATGCTCCGATCAGGTCTGGATTGCTCCTGTATGGACCGGACTGGTGCACAGGTTCCTGAGTTGGTATATTTTTAGAGGCATGCCTCCTCCTCGTTGATCTCAGATTTAAAGGGCCAGTACTCCCTTTTTTCCGTCCCATTCCGCCTCGATTTATGTCGATAGCAGCTTCACATCTCTCCCTCTCCCCTCCCTCCTGTCTCACTACAGCAGATCCTGGTCAGCAATATGTTTCCCAGCCATGCTCGGAGGAAGTGTGATGGAGCTCATGAAATATTAATGGAGGATATCTTTAGAAAGGCCCTCTCGCTTGTCTCAGCACAAGCTGAGGCAGCTCCTCACCTCCCCATCACCCCTCCACTCTCTCTTATCTCCTCCTCCTTGTTTTATTCATGTCAGAAAGTGTGTTTCCTTTGTTTGGCCTGGAAGGTCTTTGAGTTTTTGCAGGAAATTGTGGAAATGTTATTTTAAAGCAAAAGTCTGAGTCCATTTGAGGAAGTAAGAAATAGAAATTTGTTAAAAGGGAAAAAAGGGAAAGGGGAAACTTCATGAAGTGGTTCATATGACGTACCAAACTGCCCCAAAGTTAAACAAATTATAGTACATTTTATACCCCTCTGAGTCTGAGAAGAGGGGTAAAATCTGCTATATGATGATCTGAATAGAGTAACCTCCACCTGTACCAAACAATCCTCCAGCCTAAACATTAACCCTTTAAAGCCTGATCCAAGAAAAATAGGAAGAATACTGGATTTTTTTTAGTCTGAAGTCTTTCTTTGGCCCCTCAACAACATATGAAGAAAGAAAAACAGGAATTATTTTGATCAAATTAGCGTGCAATAAGTCAAAAATATATTTTCGTGCAAGAAAAAAAGGGAAGAATATTGGATTTTTTTAGTCTGAAGTCTTTCTTTGGACCCTCAACAACATATGAAGAAAAAAAAAACAGGAATTATTTTGATCAAATTAGAGTGCAAGAAGTCAAAACTATATGTTGGTGTAGTCTTCTACTGGCTGTTATCAGGTATATCTGAATGTGTACAACAGGGGTTTGAGCAAAGCTTTTACCACTGAATGATGCAAAAAGTCTCAGATCCAAAAGACTTCAGAAACCGTATGAATCAAATATGATACGTTTGGCATTATAGGGTTAAAAGATAAAGTAGGAGACCCTCTCTGAGACTTAAAAGAAGGAATGAGTGCCATTAGAAAGCAAAAGAACCTTTAAAATATACACCTGTGGGAAGTTACCAGAGAGAAATTAAGAAAGGGATTATACATATATTGATTTCCCTAAGAGTTTTCTGTGAACTCCTCGTCCTCCTCCATCCTTCTTCTTCTCCCCAGCTCTCAGCAGAAACCCATCACAGCTTCGTCCTGAGTGAAAACCGCTCAATTTTCCGCGCATTAGGTGGAGGGCGATTGGATTTAGTCCGTCAGAGATCTGAGAGCACTGCGGTTTCTTTCTCTCTTCTCGGTTCGGTTCAGTTAGCTGGGCGGAGACAGGAGTCTGAGCTGGTCTTTCTCTACTCCTTTTTTTTTTTAAACTTTATTTCTAATTGTTTTTCTTTTGTAATGGACAAAGAACAGAACATTACAGCCCATAACAAACGAAACAGTCAGAGCATTTAGTATAAACTAAGGACACTACATCAAAAAGAAAACTACAAAAAATGCAGACCAGTAGAGAACTGTCTAATTAGTTTAAATGTCCAACTTCCGGGTTTAGTCCCCTTTCTGTGAACCCAAGTGTGATTCAGGTCTGGAAAACTAAAGTTAAAGAGGCTCTGATGTTTTAGCTGCTGATTAAAAAAATAATGTTTTTTATTTTTATGTATTTTTTGTATATTTCTATATTATATTATATAGAATATATTATATATATTATATCATATATTATTATATATATTATATATTTTGAATATATATATATATATATATTTTTTTTTTAAATTTATTTATTTATTTATTTTATTTTTATTTTATTTATTTTTTTAATACCAGTACATTTATTTTTTTACCTATCTTTTTATCCCACAGCCATAAGATGATTTTACAGTTGGGCGGACACCATTAATTTAATTTATTTTCATTCCTGTTTGATTAAGAACTATTTATTTCATTTTAAGCCAGTTGAATTGTCAGTTTAAATTCAACTTTATGAAAACCCTTTTTTTTTTTTTTTTTAAATAGACTTCTGCCAGGTGGAGCTGCGGCTGCTGGCGCACCTTTCCTGCGACCCCGAACTGCTGCGGATATTCTCCGACCCGCAGGCCGACGTCTTCTCCATGCTGGCCTCTCAGTGGTGGGTGTCCAGCACAAAGCAGCTTCTCCCCTCTCTCTCTGTTATAATACGAGCAGAATGACACCTTTTCATCAGGTGTTGGTTGAACCCAAAATTTAAAAAATGCAGCTGTGGACCAAAATTTAAAAAAATGCAGCTGTGGACCAAAATATGTTTAAAAAAGCAGGAATCCCAGACTGTGGAACAAACTCCCCCCTGACATCCGCACCACTACTGACCTCAGCCTTTAAAAAAAAAAAAAAGCTTAAGACCCACTTTTTTAAATTAGCATTTAATTCTGACTAGGGTCTCTTAGGTTTCCTCTTTCTGTCTGCTCCTTTCTACGCACTTCTGGAAGGCTTTTAATGCCCTGCACCACTACAGCATTTTTAGTTGTTTTTGTATTTTTTGTATGTTTTTTGTATTGTTTTATGGCTTTGTTGTAAAGCACTTTGAGTACCATTTGGGTATTCAAAGGGCTATACAAATAAACTTGATTGATTGATTGATTGATTGAATCAGCATGTTGTTTACTTTTACTTTCACTGTTTATTGTTTCGGCTGTTTAGTGGTAATTGAAAAGGGTTTTGGTTGCTTTTAGGCCTCAAAAAATGAATTAACCAACTAGTTTGTTTGATTATAATGCAAGCAGAATGACATCTTTTCATCAGGTGTTGGTTGAACCCAAAATTAAAAAAATGCAGCTGTGGACCAAAATCTGTTTAAAAAAGCAGGAATCAGCATGTTGTTTACCTTTACTTTCACTTTTTATTACTTTTATTTTTTAGACTTCAGAAACAGTATCTTTAAAATATGATACATTTGGCATTATAGGGATGTCTCGTAAATTTATCCCCAATCTTCCATCCTTTCACTGCCACTTTCACTTCAAATGTAAATGTACATATAGTTATATAGCACTTTTCTAGTCAAGTGGAAATATCCTATTTTGTTCTTATTCGTTATTTTTTTTACCATTACTGCCTCTCAGCATGTTACAATTTGGTATTTTTCTCAGATATGACCAGAATAATCCCTTTATATTTCAAATAGGAGTGTATTTTTCCTTTATCTGGGGTGGGTTAGTGCCCAGTAGGGGGCATTAAAACCCAGTGTGGATTTTCCTGCTGGGTGGAGATACTCACCTGTTGTTGGGTTCAGTGTGTGACATTTATTTATTTAATTTATTCGTTTATTTGATAGGGTATGTTTCATGAATCACGTCACACACTACAACATTTTAGCTACAAACAGAACTAATTACAAACTAAATGATCACAAATACAAGATCAGGTCAGTTAGATTATTAATGTTCACATGTCTGAACTCTCAATAAAAAGTATTTAACCCTTTAAAGCCTGATCCAAGAATAAAACAAAACAGAAAATTACTTTTTTTTTGTTTGAATTCGTTATTTGGCCTTTTAACAAAATATGTAAAAAGAAAAAACAGAAATACTTTTTTAATATTAATAATTTATTACTATGCGATAATGTGTTCACTGTGTTCAGACTAACACAGTGATGGGACCTGATTGTTTTTTTTTGTTTTTTTTATTGTGTTTATTGAATTTTCCCCAAAAAATACACATAAATGTCCCCACATTTTGAGTCATATTCAAACATGGTAGTACAAATAAACAAAATCTCCCAATCCCTCCTTCCCTCCCTCCCAATGTAGGACTACAGATTGTAGAATAAATCCCACCATATAAAACATATAAAATGAAATTAAATAATAATAGTAATAATAATAATAATAGTAGTAATGAGAATAATATTAACAATATCACTGCCACAATCAGTAAAAATAACAATAATAATAGTTGTCATCATTATCCTAAAAAAATAAATAAATAAAAATTACGGGATGTGGGGCCTGTGACAAGAACTAATGCAGTATTTTAGATGTGAAAAGATCATGGAGTGCACAAAACTGTGAGCAGCGTGAAACGGTAGGTAATCTCTAATGAGTTTGAATGTGTACAAGTTTGAATCAGAATCAGAATAAGGTTTATTGCCAAGTAGGTTTTTAGACTTAAAAGGAATTTGCCTTGGTGTTTGGTGCACAACGCAACACTTCTATGAGAAGCAAGAATTAAAATGTAGAAATAAAAATATAGGACAGAAATGATAAAACTGAAAAATACAATCTTTAAAAATATAGATCCGAATGTGCAAATGAACAATTGAAATGTGCAATGCTTTTGTTACTCTGGACACTTTTTTCTGGACACGTGACATGTTCTGGGCCTTTTTTCAGACATCGTCTCACCCCGTCTGATCCCAGTTCTGCGAGTCACGTTACATAACCGTCTCTGTCTGTTCCACTGTCCCCTCTTCCTCTTTCCTGTCATCCCTCCGTCCTCACTTCCCTCTGAGCCTCTTATCTCACAGTCTGACCTTTTATCTCTGTGTTTTATCATCATTTTTTCCCAGTCCGGGGTCATTTTTGCCCCGTTTCATTATCACATTTGTCTCTGTCTGTTTATATTAATGTGCCCAGCATCTCTTTACAGACCCTTCACTCAAACAGTTCAGTTAAATATCCCTAAAGCTCTAAATGTCTTTTTAAGTTAGAGATCAACTTTAGCTGCACATTCGCCTTAAACCACCTCACTAAACTAGATATCACATTTTTTTCCCTTTAAACTAGGCCTCAAATTGAGGCTTTGCTTCTTATTTCTCAATTTCCATGCACTGTTTTGTGACTTTTTCCAAATCTGTCCTTTAAATGCTTTCATTAATGCAAAGTACTACTTTAAATGTGCCACGTTTTGTCTTTATTTGGTGGTGGTAATCATTCCCTAAAGGTATTCTTTGTTTGAAATGGATAATAAGATGTTTCCATCATCAATTTTAGTTGTAAATTGACTTTTAAAACCCCCTAACCTGACTAAACATCACTCTTTTCCACATTACCGCCTGTGCATGCCTCCCTTTGAGTTCTTCCTTCTGACCGTGATGCCATTTTTGTGAGAAGATACCACTTTTTTTAGAGTAAATAAACATGAATGATTCCCTTTCTGTCTCTTAGGAAAGGGATGAGTGTGGGCGAGGTGACCTCCGAGGACCGGGAACACGCCAAAAGGATTGTGTACTCTGTTGTTTACGGAGCAGGTGAGCACAAACACAGTTCATCCTCATGAGGATGCTAGCGTTCATCACTCACTATAAGGATCAAATATGACCCCTCTGCTGTGGAATATACACTTTCCAGCTTTGATTCAGGTTTTATTTGTGGAAACATTTCCTGTAACTCACCTGCATGACCAGTAAATGCTGGATTCTGTGGAAAAAAAAGAGAAAACTGCCACAAAAAGGGGACGCAAGCATGCATCCGTTAGCTGTTTATTTATTTATTTATTTATTTATTTGAATAGGGACAAAGCACATTAATGGACATCAGTGAAAACAAATGTAAATATGCCGGATTGTAGCTACAAAGCTAATTTTCATCCGTAGTCCCTAGTTAAAAAATAACATATAATAAACAATACAAGCATCACAATTAAAAGTTTAGATTTTAGTGGTCACATGACTGGCTTGCTTTCATCCAAAGTTTAAGTTGATCTCTAAAGCTGGTCAGTGTGGGGCTCTCCCGTATGTGCAGAGGAAGACTGTTCCAGATGTTAGAGGCTCTCACAGAGAGTGTTTTGACCAAAAGCTAGAGCTGTTAGCGCTAATGCTAAGAGTTCGTTTGAACTCTTCATAGTGTTCTTGATTTATATTTTAATTTGAGAGCAGATGAGACATGCAAAGTGAATGGAGAATAAAGATGAGGGGAAGCAAAGTAACACAGGAAGTAACAAATTTGTTATAATTCAGGTAAAATAACTTACAGAAAACCCAACAAAGAGACTTTCTGTCCAGTCTGTCGCACAGAAGCTCTCATTCCACCATCAAATGTCCTCAAAACCACGCTAGCCATGACCTGCTCCGCCCTGAAGGTTTGTGCCAAAGGAAAATAGAAAATAGTGGGCTTGATTTAAGCGTCTGTGACAGCTTGATGGAGGTCATTTGCATCCAAATCTGCTTCCAGGGAACCGGACTCACTCTGGAGGATGGACATCTTTGTGTTGTTTTCCTCTCTGGCTGAATTTGTAACTCAGTAAACTCTAACGATGACTTAACGCCAACAATACAAGCTAAAATGCAAAACCTCATTAGGACAATCAGCTTTCACTGTACAAGGCACAAAAACCTGGAATACATTACCTGCAGAACTGAAGGGAGGGTCAAACTGGGTCCTTTTTAAACATAAACTTAGAGACTTTTTATTGAGAGGTCAGACATGTGGACATTATTAATCTGACTGTCTTGATCTTTTATCTGTGATGTTTTAGTGTGTGATTTGTTCTGTTGTTTACAGTCACTGTGTTTTGTGTAAAAGACTAACTGGGGACAGGCATTGAGAATTAGCCTTAGCTAAAATGTTATAGTGTGTGACATGTTTCATGAAACATACTTGTCCCTATCAAATAAATAAATAAATAAATAAAAAAGGGGGGAGGGGGGTGCAGGTGGCGATTATTCGGGGGAGGAAAACAGGGAGCAAAACGAGATGTTGGAGTGAGATGGGAGGTGTGGGGAACTGATGGGGGGAGGGGGGTGTAAATGGAGGGGGAAAGGGGGGAGAAAAATGAGGCAAGGAATGTGAGGAGGTCCCACACAGCTCCTCACCGAGGGATGTGTTGCCGTGGTTACCGAACACTAAGAGACGCTTTCTCCAGAAGACAATCAGGCCAGGGGGGGGGGGGGGCCCCCCCCCCCCCACACCTCCCTCACCCCCCCCACCATGAGGCAACACGTACACAAATGGGTCAACAAGGAAAAGGGCCGAACAATGAGGCTGGGAAACGTGATGAAAGAGGTCAAGTTTCATATGCAGATGACCAGAAAATATCAGAAATGAATCCGAGGAATGAAGGGTGGAGGACAAAAGAGGAGAGAAACAGGAGGTTAGGAGGAGAAACAAGAGGTTAGGAGGAGAAACAAGAGGTTAGGAGGAGAAAC